TCTTCAATCAAGGTTTATGTCTTTTACCAAACTTGTGAAAATTTTAGTGAATATTTTCTTCAAGTATTTTTGAGCATTGTACTCTTCTTTACTTTTTGGATTCCAGCAACGTGATTGTTAGACTGTTTGTTTTTGCTGCCCAGGTCCCTGAGATTCTGTCCATTTTTTTTTTCTGCTTTTTCTCCCCAGTACATAGTTGTATACTCTAGTTGTGGGTCCTTCTAGTTGTGGCGTGTGGGATGCCGCCTCACCGTGGCCTGACGAGTGTGGTCTGGCCTGTCCATGCCCAGGATCCGAACCTGCAAAACCCTGGGCCACTGAAGGGGAGCGTGCAAACTTAACCACTCAGCCATGGGGCCGGTCCCTGTCCATATTTTTTAGAAATGTTTTTTTATCTGTTGTTTAGTTTTATTTTTCTATCAAGTTCTTGATTCTTTTCTTCTGTCATCTCTCTGCTATAGAGTCCGTTTTCTGGTTTTGTTTCAAGAGTATTGTGATTGCTCATTTGAGTATTTTTATAACGGCTGCTTAAAGTCTTTGCCAGAGCATTTTATTATTGGTGTCATCTTGTTATTGATGTCCCATCCTTTACTTTTAACCGGTTTGTATTTATATATTTAAAATGTTTTTCTTGTTTTCTTATAGGCAGCATGGAGTTATATCTTGCTTTTATATCCAATCTGAAAATTTTTGCCTTTTAATCAGGGTGTTTAAACCATACGTATCACACACACACACGCATTTATATATAAACTTATATTATGAGATAAGTTTACATTCGTATACATTTGTAAAAAATGATACAGAGAGATCTCATGTACCCTTACCTACTATCACACAATGATAGCATCTTACAAAGCTATAGTATGTTGAGTGTTTTTATTAGGAAAGATACTAGATTTTGTTAAATGTATATTCTGTGTGTTGTTTGAATTCAGTTGATCTTGTGTATTACATTGAGTTTCACCTGTTAGTCCAACCTTGCATTCCTGGTATAAATCCCACTTGGTCGTGGTGTGTATCCTTTTTATTGTTGCTTGGTTTGGTTTGCTAGTATTTTGTTGAGAATTCCTGAGTCTATATTTATAAGGAATTTTGGTATGTAATTTTCTGTTCTTGTGATATCTTTGGTTTTGTTTTCAGAGTAATACTGGCCTCATTGAATGAGTTGGAAAGTATCCTCTCCTCTTACTATTTTTTTTTTTTTTGGAAGAGGTTATGAGGCATTAGTATTTATTCTTCTTTAATTATTTGGTGGAATTAACCAGTGATGCCATCTGGGCCTGGTCTTTTCTTTGTGGGAAGTTTTTAGATTACTAATTCAACCTAATTGAATTACGAATTTAATTCAATCTAATTACTAATTTCTTCAGAATTTCTTTTTCTTCTTGAGTCACCTTTTGGTAGTTTGTGTCTCTGTGAGAATTTTCCTCTTTTATTATAGTTATCTAATTTCTTGGTATAAAATTGTATTTCCTTATAATTCTCTATTTTTCTATAAAGTTGGTAATACTCTTTTATTACTAATTTTGGTAGAGTTGTGTTTGTTTTTTCATTTGATAAGGCTAGATGAAAGGTTGTTGGGGTTTTTTTGTTTGTTTGTTTTAGATTGGCACCTGAGCTAACAACTGTTGCCAGTCTTCTCTCTTCCTTTTTTCTTCCTCTTCTCCCCAAAGCCCTCCAGTACATGGTTGTATATTCTAGTTATGAGCGCCTCTGGTTGTGCTATCTGGGACTCTGCCTCAGCATGGCCTGACGAGTGGTGCCATGTCCACGCCCAGGATCCCAACCGGTGGAGGGAGTTCTTTGTTTATTTGTTTAGTGACTTGCGTGGACTATGTAGTGAAATCTGTTTTTTTCACAATGTATAGCCTCTGATGATGCTCCTCAGAGGGGAAGCCGTGGGCTCGCACACTCTCAAGCTGGGATGACTGTGTTTTTAGTGGTGCTTTTTTTTGGCTGTCTCTTTCCTTGATCTCTCTGTTAAGCTTTCTTGTCTTTGTTGATTTCACCCTTAGTTTTTAGTGTCCATTAACTGCTAGCTGATTGCTCTGCTGTTCTGGACAATTGTCTTTGGTATAAAATGCCCATGGTCTCATCCAGGTAATTTCAGATCCCTTTGCTGTATTTGTCTTTGAAGCCAGTGTTTGAGATTGCTTCTAACCTTAGGAGGACCTTCTTAGCTGTCTCTGTCCCTGGTTTTCTGTCCTATGTTTCTAGTTGTTTTATGGTTTAGCTTGTTGCTCTCTCCAGTGAAGAGGAGACAGTAAGCCTCCTCTTAATTGCTTACCACTTAAACAACATCATTTTTATTTATTATTATTTTTTTGTGAGGAAGATTGGGCCACCAAAGCAGAGTGCGAGAACTTAACCACTCGGCCACAGGGCCAGCCCTGGTTTTTTTTTTTATTCTTATCAAAGAACCAACTTTTGGTTTTGTTGATTGGCCCTGAGCTGCCAAAGTGGAGCATGGTGAACTTAACCAGGCCGGCCCTAAAACACCCTTATTTTGGACAGTACCCTTAGACTTGAACGTCTACGTACTCTGTTCCAAATAATGTCCGTTTCCTTGGAGAGAGCTTAGGAGCAGTCTGTTCTTTCGGCCTGCCTTTACACTTTGCAGAACCCAAACCTGTGCCTCAGAGCTGGGGGCAGATGCAGAGGCCCGCTTCTTTTGGAGTGACACACCTGCTTTATGAGCAGTATGCTGGCAGGGCAGTAGCCTGTGGTTTTCTTGGCTTGTCTCTCTTGGTATGGGACCTCCATCCTATCAGCAGGGTCGGAAAGCACAATTGGAGCCCTATTACTCTTCGTCTGACGGTCCTGGGGAGAGCGTCTGCCCTGCTAGTAGGTACTGTGCCAAAGAAGAGAGCTCAGACCTACCTCTCAGTCACGTTTGCCCGGCACGTGGCTTCTACAACATGGAGTTGAGGGAGTGGGATGTGTCCCACTTGAGGCCTTCCCCTCTCTGGGAAATGCCCTTCTGTTTGACTGGGAGCTGGGGGAACGGGAGCCATTTTTTCTTGGCTTCATCCGCCCAAAGTGGAGCTTCTGTCAGCCCGAGGTGGGAGAGTGAGGAGGGACTGGGTTATGGCTCAAATGCCACAGATTTTCACCATTCTTACTGAGATGTAGTAGATTTTCCTGAATGAATGTTTCTGTATTTGCTGTGTGCCCTTAGGACAGTTTCTGATGTCTTAGGAGTTGTCTGCCATTTTACTTTTTGTTTTCTCTTTGTTCTCTCTGCCTCCCCCCCACCTTCTCTTTTTCTTGCCTTCCTGTGGGCTACTTGAACACTTTTTAAGAATACCTTTTTGTTTTATCTGTGGTGTTAATGAGTGTCTCTCTTAGAATAGCTTTTTTAGTGCTTGCTTATCATTGGAAGTTTGATTTGAATGTTTTTTATATCCTATGTCTCTTAACTTTCTGAACATTTGGAAGAGAGTTATAACAATATTTTGATGTCCTTTTATGCTAATTGTAACGTGTCAGTTATCATTGACTGTTCTCACTATGGATGGTGTGTTTTCCTTCTTTGCGTATCTGGTGTAAATCATTTCTGCTGCAGCCGGAAGTGCGGTGGTTGGCTCAGGGCAAAACACTCTGTGACTGAGGTGCGCGCTGAACTAGTCACTTTGTTTTAAATGGGATGTAATTTTTATTTGAATGAATGACTGACAGTCAAACTGTAGTTATTCTGACTTGGGTATTTGGCATAGATTTTCTCAAAATTGAATGAATGAGCCGATAATCTTTAACTTCAAGGAAAGCAAGTAACAGTTTTTATTACCAGTGATAACATTTGAGGTTTCTAAGCAAAAATTAGAATTTTGGAAAACTTGTATCCACCACTGTGCGCTTGATAGCTTTTCAGTAATTAAAGTCTTTTCTGATTCAGTTGACGGTCCTATTAATGAGTTTGGCTTTTTTTGATATTGCACAGTGGAATGTGTCAGTCTTGGGAGATTTGCATAGTTCAGTGAGCCAGTAATTTCTAAATGGCCAAGATGTGATGTTATAACGTCATGCCTGCTTAAGAGATCAATTCAAAGTAAAAGATGGGCCAGATGATTTTAATAGAGTATTAAAAGTTTATTAATATCACTTCAGAGTCCACATCACAGCTAATTACTTGTTGAGTTTTTGTATAGTACAAAGAATTATATTCAAGTTGTCTCAAATGGTTATTAAAATTCACATTCCTTTTCTAACCACATAACTGTATAAAGCCAAATTTTCGTCATTTGCTTCAGTCAAAACACATATCAGAAGAGATTGAATGTATGAGAATCCAGCTGTCTTCTACTAATTAGACAATAACCAGCTTTACGAAAATGTAAAACCATGCTGCTCTGATCACTTGCATTTTTTGTTTGGAAAAATATTTATTTTTCATAGAAATGTTATTCATATTAACTAGGTTTATTATTAATTCTAAATGAATTGAGATTCATATTTTTTAAATTGTCTATTTTAATTTCTAATATGGAAAATATCAGTAGATATAACCCACATAAACAAAAGGTTTTGGGAGTCCTCAATAATTTTTTACGTTGTAAAGGAGTCTTGAGACCAAAAAGTTTGAGACTTCTGGTGTATGCTTTTTTTCCTCATGGTCCCAATGTGACTGCTGTACCTCCTGGCATGACATCTGTATTCCAAGGTAGATGAGGGAAGGAAGAATGCTGGAGAAAGGAGCAATGGCTGTATCAGGAATGCACATTGTTTTCCCAGAAAACCTCAAGGTTAATTTTTTTTAGAACTTTCTTACATATCTACCCTTAACTGCAAAATAGTGTGAGAAAGTGAGAACTTTTAGTTGGATCTATTGGTGCTCAGAACAAAGTTGGAGCTATGTTGGTGGGATGGATATTGAGTAGATAGTTAGTAATGTCTGTTACATGTAGGGTTTTTTTGTTTTGTTTTTTTAGTGACTAGTCCTGGTCAGAGTTTCAAGGAAACTCCCATGTGAAGTTCTATTGTTTGATTCCTTTCTGCAGAATCCCAGAAACTTGCTTGGACATCTCCTCATTGTCTTCCTGTTGACGCTTGGCTTCTACTTTCCGGGGCGCGTTTGGTCTCTTTGGGCTCTGCATCTCTGTTCTACCCCTAAGGTACAGTCTGTTGGAGCCACACATGGACTTGCAAAACATCACTGACAGGATTGATTACATTGTGAAATGTCCCTTCTTCAACAGAGCTTATCTTTATCTTTGTGATTTGGTAACTTCTTACATTAACAAAACTTTTCTTTCTCACACCCTCAGTCTTTCCCAGTCTACTTACCAATCTGTTTTCTGATTGATCTATTTGTATTAACTCAATTGTGAGCTCACTGCCATCTTTTACCTGGAAATATACTTTTACAGTAGTCGTGATTTACTTTTTAAAAAATGAGTCATAGCCCTTATGGATTATTCTGGCCCAGGATTTAGAATGAAATTTGCATCTTTAAAGTGTGGTCTGGGAGCCAGCAGCATGGGAGTCACATTCTTACTGGAAATGCAGAATCTCAGTCTGCCTCAGACCTAAACAGTCTGCATTTTAGCAAGATCCCTGAATGATTCAAGGGCACGAAGTTTCAGAAGCACTGGTCTAAGGGAGACAACAAATGAGAAGAGAGCGTGGATCTGTGTTTTGAGGAGCTCTTAAGGTTTTATTTTGCTGAGGAAGATTCACCCTGAGCTAATGTCTATGCCAGTCTTCCTCTATTTTGTATGTGGGTTGCTGCCACAGCATGGCTGCCGCCAGGTGGTGTAGGTCCATGCCTGGGAAGCAAACTTGGACTACTGAAGCAGAGCACGCCCAACTTAACCTCTAGGCTGTGGGGCCGGTCCCAGCTCTCCTGTTTAATGTAGACTGAAAGAGCCCACTGAAGAGACTTGAGAGGAGAGCAAGCTCGGGGAGTGTGTGGTAGCACAGTGTGACACCCCTGATACCTTCTCTGAGGAAGGAGGGTGCAGTGAGGCTTTCATGTCTCCCAGGGCTGCAAGACGGAGGCACCCATTAAGCAGTGACTGAACATATTAAAGGTTGTATGAAAATTATCTGCCAAGGTTTTTCTCACTTGGGCATTGAATCTTAGTTTCAGCTTGAACTGGAATAGAACTCGTTTTCTTTTCTTTTGGTGAGGAAGTCTGGGCCTGAGCTAACATCTGTTGCCAGTCTTCCTCTTTTTGCTTGAGGAAGATTGTCACTGTGTCAGTCTTCCTCTGTTTTGTATGTGGACGCCACCACAGCATGGCTTGATGAGTGGTGCATAGGTGTGTGCCTGGAATCTGAACCTGCGACCCATGGGCCGCTGAAGCAGAGCACATGAACTTAACCACTATGCCACTGGGCTGGCCCCTGGAACTCTTTTTCTGTTTGGTATTCATAATTCCAGTTCTTGACATTGGTGTTTGGTAAACTTTCCTCCTTCTCCTTCAGAAGCATGCTATTTTGACAGTAGGAGAGAATGGTGTCACCGACTCTACCCTGATGTAATTTTTTTTTTTGAGGAATCTTAGCCCAGAGCTAACGTCTGCCAATCCTCCTCTTTTTTTTTTTTTCCTGAGGAAGACTGGCCCTGAGCTAACATCCATGCCCATCTTCCTCTACTTTCTATGTAGGATGCCTACCACAGCATGGCTTGCCAAGTGGTGCCATGTCCGGAACTGGGATCCGAACCAGCGAAGCCCGGGCCGCCGAAGTGGAATGTGTGCACTTAACCACTGTGCCACTGGGCCAGTCCCTACCCTGATATAATTTATGTATGTACTTTTTTATGTAATTCTTCAACTTTTCCCTAGTTGTACATTCCTCATCAAAACACTATTTTGAAGCAGTTCTCTAGTGACATTATCATTGGCACAGACCTAGGAGTCAGATTTTTGTCCACGTTTTGTGCCTGATCCTGTTGTTAGCATATGGTAGCCGCATGGTAAATAAGTACGGAATGAATGAGTAACTGATTTGAATGAACCCTGGGATTTGCTTCCGGAAAGTAGGTCTGTTATAGTGCTGAACTTAGATTTTTCACTAAGTTCAGATAAATGGAGGGATATGTAAGGAAAAAAAACAAAACGTGATCTGTGGGAACTGAATTGTTAATTTCCTGTCAGGTAGTGGAGAAGTGATCCTAAATATCGACAGGCTTCAGGCTTTGAAACGTCTGTACCTTCTGGGGCTAGTCATTTGTTTGATTTTTCCAGTATACAGTATTGAATCGTTCTAATGAAGGAAACAGAGTAAAGGCTTACATCATTACATTTATTTCTCAGGTTCATAAGGTAAAGAGCAACTCTTAGATCTCAGTCTGGATTTATAATGTTGTCAACCTAACAACTAGGCCTCTCCCCACCCCAGTATCCATTCTCTATGGGATAATGAATGTCAGAAAGGTCTAGGATATGAATTTTTGCTGCTCTTAGTACCTCAGAACTTTTCTGTAGATTTCCAGATGGTGTTAAACTGGCCGTTTCTTGTAAGGCAGCAGGTAATATGATAGTGGTTATAATTGGTTTTCTGTACAAATACTCCAAGGCATATGGTACTTTAATTTAGTAGACTAAATTAAAATTTAGTAGTAAATCTCTGTAGATGAGCCTTTAAACCAGGATTCACACCTGTTTTTATCCATAATACATTCTTGACTCGTGAATGAAACTTGAAATGGTAATAGATTTATCTCTTCTGTGAACAGAGGGACTCTCCGTTCCCAGTGAGTCAATTTGTGAATAACATGATTGAATGATGTTCCTAATTAAATTTGGTCTTTTAGAAACAGTCTTTGGTGATAGATTGTCAACACTTTGAGTATACTTTATAATTTTACTCTTTTCCTTTTTAACTATCTAATTGATTTAATTGACTAGCTTAAGACCAAGAAACATTCCATTGAGACTGAACACTCAACACTTAAGAAACTGAACTTTTATTTTCACTCGGAATTATAAAATGAGAGAATATAATAAAAATATTCAAAACACTGCACAAACAACATTGCTATAAAGACAAAGAAGACAACATTGCCAAAACAAGTGCTGGCTGGCAGGCCACCTGGGAGATGTTGAAAACGTTTCTTCATCAGCATTTTAGGGGTATTCGAAAGCCAAGTGTACAGAAGTCAGGGCAGTCTGTAAGTTGGTGGGTTGAGGGGAAGGAGAAAGTAAAACTTCCTGCTGGCTTGCTTTCTTTAAGGAGAGCCGTGGTGGAATGGAATCAACTCTTCTCAAAGGAGTTCTTCACTGACCCACTAGCTCCTTTGTACTTCTCGCTGACCAAAGAATTTTACCAGCTCATTACATCTCAGCCTTCTCTCATCTTCCCCATGGCTATTGCATGGCCTCTGAACTGAATAGAGAATAGATAATCTTTAAAATACAAGTGAGATCATCTCTTCCATTTGTAATAGTTTTTTTACTCATGTGGTTTAGAGCAAGGCTGAATGGATTCAGGGAAAGTTACTTTCTTATATTTAAAACTCAGATTTATGTTTAGAACAGTCACTTTTTGTTAGAAAGTTAAAGCGTGGAAGATTATCGTATTCATTTGCTAGGGCTACCATTAACAAAATACTACAGACTGGGGGCTTAAAACAACAGGAATTTATTTTCTCACAGTTCTAAAGGGAGAAGTCCTAGATCAAGGTGTCAGCAAGTTTGGTTTCTCCTGGCCTCTCTCCTTGATGTAGACGGCCATCTTCTCCGTGTCCTCCCTCTGTGTGTGTCTGTCCTAATCTCCTCTTCTATAAGACACCAGTCATATTGGATTAGGGCCCACCCTAAGGACCTCATTTTAACATAATTGCCTTAAAGACCCCATGTCCAAATGTAGTCCCATTCTGAGTCCTGAGCATTGGGACTTTAGTGTATGAATTCTGGGGGGACACAATTCAGTCTGTGACAATTATGTGTCAAAGAGGTCAACTTAAAAGCAGAGAGACCAGGTGGGACGTCATTCAAGAATTCCATGTAAGAAATGAAGAGAAGCTGAACTAAGGCATTGATGGTAGAAATGGAGATGAGATTTGACGTTGAGAGACATTAAGAAGGAAGAATCTGATACAAGACTTTGTAACCGAAGGTGGAAGGATGTGAGAGGGAGGAGGCTGGCATGACTCTCAGATTTCTCTGATCCAGGAGGAGAAACAGGCTCAGGGAGTAGATGTGAGCTGTGTGATGTCCCTGCTGCCTACGCACCACTGTGCAGCCAGACGACCTGGGTGGGGTCAGCTGTCCTGTTTTCTTCTTCCCCATCCTTCAGTGGCTGCTCACAGCGTGGACCACACCACATATAACTGAACATGCAATTTCTCCCCTCTGAACCTCCGCTTAAACGTGTCTTAAAACACTTTTTACCCTCTTATTTTTACACTTAATTCCAAATTCCTATTCTCTTCTTGTTAAGTTCCTCTAGGGCAAAAACTATTGTATTCATCTTTGCCAAATTCTCCAGTATCTAATAGCTGGCCCAGTACATAGTAGTTTGTGCTCAGCAAATTCTAGTTGACAGAATGATTTGTCACTAGGATTGTTATCAACTACTTCTTTGCACATTTTAAGTAAAACTTGATACTTAACACCTGCTTGGTTTTCTTACAGAATGAGAAGACTTTGGGACATTCCATGAGTCATTCAAGTAACATTTCTAAGGTAGAGTGCCACTGAAATATGTTAGTTTTGTAGCTTGGGGTTTTTATATTCTCATACCTTGCATGTGTTTGTACTCTTCTATTTTAAAGACATATAGTTCATGATATACTTCTTTAATCTGCTCTGGGACCCTACAATGAGGTGAATGGCAGTTATGTTTTTCTAGTGAGGCAACACTGAGTGCACGTTGAGGGTGTGACTAATAGGATAAAACCCCGTTTCTTCCAGTAGAAATAATTTACTTTCAGATAAAAAAATCTCAGAAGTCACCAGAGAATCTGTCACCTCAATTAGGAATTTGACTGATGGTAACAGAAAGCCAACTCTGGTGACTTAAATAATTATGGATTTATGTGGTCCTGATGACAAGATGTCTGGAGGGAGGTGGTCCAAGGCTGATGCTCACAGATGTTGCCAGGGCCCCAGGCACTTTCTGTCTTCTCTGTGCCACCTTCCTTAGCACATTGTTATCCTCATGCTTAGCACCTTATGGTCTCAAGGTGGGAGCTAGACCTCTAGGCACCATGGCTGTGGCCTTGGCAGAAATAAGAACGATGAAGGATGGAGGAGTCCATCAGATGAGTGATCCTTTACAACAGGAAGGCAAAAGCTCTCCCAGAATCAGCCCCCCTGCCTGGCTTCCGCTTACATCTCACTGGCCAGAACTGGATTACGGGGCCACCTCCAGCTGGAGGGTGGCTAGAAAAAGGAGAGCTGAGGGAGTGAATTGTCTGTCCAACAGCACCTGATACACCTGTGCTATAGTTACTTGAGCTGCCAGGAACATGTCAGCTGATGGAGATGACCCAGGAGTCAGCTGACAGTGTCTCACCTGCAGTAAGCTTGTTCCCATCTCTCAGCCCAGACTCTGGGCTCGGGTCAACCACTTGTCCATGCAGGTATGTCCATGCAGGGTCCTTGCAGAGATGGACCTTCTCCCCATGTCCATGTCAGCTGGCAAGACACTGACACAGATCCTGACAGGAAGATCTGAACAATATGACAAGACCGTTCTGCTGTCTCAGGCCTCCTAAGTACTCTGAAACAGTCACATGATATACCATTTTAATTTACCAACCACACAGATATTTTCATTCATATCACCCTTTCTTTTTGAACTAAAAGTACAATCTAGCAAATCCTCTAAGACATTAAATCAGTCTGTTCTTAGGCATGTTTATGATCCAATCATATCATTCTTCCACTTAATTTGGCATAAACAGAAGAGTTCATAGTGCTCAGTTATAACGTAGAAGGCCGTTTACAGAGTGCTCCTCCGTTCATTCCTGACCTGACCTCCTCCAGACGCTCCCTCAAGCCGTGAGCTTCAGCCGCTTCATATAAATACCTTCTACTGAGTGCTTCCTTCTGTTCCAACCTCCATTTCTTTTATGTTGCTGTCCCTTCAGCCGGGAGTGCCAGAGCTGTAGCACTGTGCAGGGGTAGGTCATTGCTGTCTGAGTACAGTGTCCGGTTTGTGCTGCCATCTTTTGAAGGAGTTGTCCAACATTTAAGCTTCAAGAAGAGTAAGGGGGTGTAGATCCAGGTGGCCTGGCTGGTTGGGTTGAACTCAGTGTGTCGGAAGCATGCAGTGGCTCTCGTTGCTTTGCTCCAGTGGCTGAGGGCAGTTCTGAAGGAGGGTGTTGTCCTGTGTCTCAGATATGTGACTGTTTGTTTATGGTTTTAGTGGGATTTTATTTGGAGGAAAGTTTCCTCCTATAGTTAAATCAAAAGTTTGTAAACCACTGGCTTACAGTGTCTAGAGGAACATTTTATGGGCTTGGCACAGGCCTGGGATGTGGTATTCTGAGTTGCTCTGTGAGGGTTCTGGGGTTAGATGGACAAGGATTTACTAGCCATGTGACTTTGAGGAAGGACACTTCTCTGAGCTTTAATTTCCTGATGAGTAAAATAGGGTAATTATACAGCCTTCAGGGTTGTTGTGAGTCAGGGATGAGGTTTGCAAGGAGCCAGGGGGCAGCTCCCTCAGTCAGTCAGTCAGTGGACTCTTAGCAACCTTTGCAGAACCCTGGTGATCTTAGGTCAGGACTTAGGTCAGGATAGTCCTTGATGGTAGCTGTTACTATTTGATTTCTCATCAAAGGCAGAACTGTGTGCTTTAAAATCAATATCACCTAGGGGTGAAAATGAAGAACTCTAGTGAAAACTCTGGTTTCTCCTTCCTTCCTTCTTGCACACTTATCACATGTTCTTTGTGCAGGGCGCTGAGCTAGGCATTGGTGTAAAATGCAGAGCAAAACCGACATGACCACTGATGTGGAGCTTTCCTGAGGGCAGGACTGCAATTTTCTTAGAAAGCAGGTTTAGCTCCACACTTAAACACTCTTAGGAACAGGCGGACTGTGAAGCCTCAAAGCTCTCTGCCTCAGAGCAGGGCCAAGAAGATTTGAGCCTCTTCCATTATGAGAATAGGAGTTCCTGCACGCTTAACTGGGGTCAGAGGAAAATCTCAGGAGTGGCGCGCGTGCCCACATCTCTTCCCAGTGAACCCATCAGCATGAAATTTTGTTGCAAAAATGTGTCCCTCCGTAAGTAGTAAAGTTAGTATAATATGGAGTTGTCAGCCATGAATCAGTTAAATGGGGCTGGAGGAGGGGGCAGGACTACTATGAAAGCTGTGTTTTTGAGAATGCAGTGCTTTTATTGAGCCTATTGTTTGAAGCCACCCTTAGGCCTGTGCCATGTAAAACTCTATTTTTGGTGTGGCAGACATACTTAAGCAGATGCTTCATACCCTTCAGATCGAAAATACAAAGAAATGTCAGACCACGGACATGTTCTATGCTACCTGAAATCTCAGTTGTCTCTGTCAGGAGGCTCTTTCTGCTGACTCAGCCTCCAGCTGGTTCAGTACTGCTTTGTGCTCATGTCAGTTGGTCACCCACAGTCTGCGTTATGCTCCTGCAGTTTCCCACTTACTGGTTATGGCTCATGAAGTTAGAGGTTGAGAAGAGGTAAAAAGAAACCTTGGATCTGTCTCAGTGTTCCATCTAGATTTCATTACAAAATGACGGAGTGCTGCAGTGCTTATTGGAGGCTCTCCGTGTTTCATTTTAGCCTCAGAAACCACGCTCCCTTTCCAGGAAGGAAACAGGCAGTTAGATGGAATGTGCAAGAGGCTGCTAAGCCTGCTGGCTTACCTACTTCACAGTCGGCATCCAGGTGCCATCCTCTTAGAGAAGTTAATAAAGGAAGCATATTGGGACGTTTAAGCCAATTCTGATGACAAAGCCTTCACTCAGTGCTTTGTTTTCATTAATAGTAATGATCATTTATTGAGCCTCCGTAACGGGAGCAAGATTTCAGGAAATTTGTCACCTCTTCCTAATGGTCCATCCTGACCACCTAAGTGGTTGCCTAGTCAGCTTTTCCTGTTTTATTTTCAACAGAGCACTTTTAATTCCCTGAGTTCTTATGAATTTTTTCTGTTGCCCCCTCACCTCACATGTATACTCTATGAGCATAGAGCTGTGGCTTGTTTACCCTGCATCTTCAGAGCCGAGGGTAGAACCGATCTCTGGAGGTGGTCAGGACTTGTTTGTTGCGCAAGTGTTTCCATGGTGTTGTGCTGGACGCCTTACATCCAGCCTGCCGTTCTCCCCATTGTCACAGCTGCCTTCTGGGCCCAGGGCTCCTCAGCTGCTGCAGTAGCCCCCAAGACTGCCTGTGTTCTTAGCACCTCCCACGTCTTCCTCCCCCGCGCAGCCAGGTAAAGAGAATCCTAATACGTCTCTTGTTGAGCCTTCACTGGCTTCTCATGGCATTTAGAATAAGATTTGAACTCCCTGCCTGATGTGCCAGATTTAAAATGATCTGGTCCTGGCCACTTGTGACCTCATCCATTTATTAATGATATTGTAGCAGTGTGTAGAAAATGCTTTTTTTTTTTTTAAATAATTTTCTGTTAGGAAAAGACCTGTTTTATTGACTGAGTATCTGGAGAAGCTGTTTGAGGAAGGATGAGACCCAGGGGGGCATCTTGCAGAAGGATGGGCATTTGAGTACGGTTCTCTGTGCAGCTGTGCCCTACCCTTTCGCTTGCTGAGGGCTCCTTGATCATGTGGGCCAGCAGAGCCATCCTGGAGCCGTGTTCCCCAGATGTGAGCCATCTACACCCCACCCTCACCCCATAACTCCCTGTGCTGCTGTTTGCTTAATCATTTTCTTTAAACCAACTCTTCATATTAAAGAAATTTGTTTGCAATGAAAATTTTGTATCATTGGATAGTATCTGAAATCACGATTTTGATTTGCTAGTTTGCTGACATGAAATTATAACATAACTTAAAATATTTGTTCTTCAGTATGTTATCTAAACTCTTACTCTGTCATCCACCACTGGTCCTGATACTGCCCTTTGTGGACTGCACTCCGATAGACAAGGGGATTTGGGAGGCTGTGCGGTAGAGAGAAGGGAGGGGTGGAGGTGGGGGTCTATGCTGTAGGAGTGTGATGTACAGCCTCTGGCTGTCAGGTGACCATCACTCCCAGGGTGACTTGGAGCAGGGCCTGGTGAGGGGAATGCAGTGAGGTACTGAGCATGACCTCAGGAGGGTAGACTTCAGGTGGTCACAGAGGCTGCTCCTGGAAGGCCTACCACATTAGGGTGAGGCGCAGTGACTTCCTGTCCAGAGGTATTGTACCACCACTGCCCCCCACCTCCAGGCTGTCTCATGCTCAGCATGAGGTATCCTCATCTGTAATGTGGACAAGGAGGCCCAGCGCAGCGTCTATGAGGATTTCAGATGAGTTCAGATCTTGTCCACCACTTAACTGTGTGCCAGACATTGTGCTTTGAATGTTGAACCAAACAAAGGAGAGAGGAGTAAGCAGACTTCCATAAAATACCTACAGACGGAGAGAATTACTATGAAGGTGAAAGACAAGGGGCTGAGGTCAAGAATTACAAGGAAGTGAAGTTAGAGGGGCTACTCGGGGAAGGTGTGGCTGAGGAGGGGATGTTCAAGCAGGATGTAAAA